TGCGTACCTGATAGATTCGAGATCACGTGACGGAAAACAATCCCGTCTTTTGACTTCACCGTATGCCAAGGGTTTATGAGGAGAGTAGCGTATCAGAAACCCTTGGCTAGCGAAGATGTACTTTTTATTGTTTTGTTATTTTTGTGAATAAATAAATACCCAAATTCATGCCAATAGTAGTATGATTTGCAACATTTATAAGTTATAACATGTAAAGATGGTATTTGGTCTGTGTGGAAGTCAAAACCTCTTGTCATTGAAAATCAAAATGTATCATATTTTTGATTTAATAATTGGATAACAAACGAAAGTGTCCTGATTTTTGAAAATAAACACCACAATGTATTCCATCATTTCATTCTCGTAGTTCTGTACATTTATTTTATTTGAAATAAAGGAAAAGAAAAAATTATCGTGTCATTTTCATGCAGTTTGTGCATGCAGGTAACACAATTATATAATATACTTTATCGACAAGGAAATTTAACACCTAATGAACCTATGTTTTTCATTTTCTGTCTAAGTACATTTAAAATACTAGACTAAGTACTTGAAAAAGATTTATATGCTTGTATTTAAATAATAATAATAATATGATATAAAAAGTTACGGAAGCCCGTTGCTGTCTACGAAAGCCCGTTGAGGCCAGTTTAGAAAAAAGAAATATTTTTCATTGCGTTTAATCACAATAATATTTGCGTTTCATCTTACAAAATTGTTATGCAAAATAAACTGAATCCTCACGTCATAGAAATATTACGTTACCATTTCACCGCAAGCACTTTCTAGCGGGGTACAAGTTTCTCTAAATTTTAGCATAAATAATATCATGACGTAATATTTTAATTAGAAAATAATTTTTCTTATTTTATGAGATTAATCAAGTATGAAATAGTTGGAATTAGGCAATAAATTGAAGATTTAATGAACTTTTTAAAGTGCGTGAAAATGCGTGATTGCGGGGAAACGGTAAATGAGTGATTTTGCGTCAGAAATAGGAAATGGGATATGCGTTAAAATGCGTGACTGCGGGGAAGGGGGTTAATCTCAATAATCAAAACGTTTATACGCAAAGCACTTTGCGTTTATTCGCAAAAGATTGCGTTTAAACGCAATAATTTTGCGTTTAAACGCAATAATTTTGTTTTAAGAACCCTCTCTACACTGCACACTAAAGAGTTCTGATTCTATGGGGTTTTTTTTGCAGTTAGAGTGATCTGCCCTTAGATCTAAATTCTTAAAATTAGAAATTCACAGTTTATTACACAATTTGTAATCAATTCAATTTTTTCTCAATATCCAAAAAAACATTTTGTACTGGTGTAATAATAATAATATGTACATGTACAAATACGTAAGTCTTAACATTTCATTTAAGATTTCATCAGTCGTTTCCTTAACCCCTTTACACATGGTTTAAACTTTGTGACCGCAATGTAGGGTGTCAAAATGTCAAAAATTACTTTTGCGGCGGCATTTGTACTATTTTCATAATTTTAAAACAATTCACTCTATAAAAACTATATATTATTCAATCGGTAATTGTCACTTAATACATTTTAACAAAAATATTTTTTAAATTGTGATGTTGCTCAATCCGAATACTTTGAACGCGTTCTTCAAAATGCAAGACAGAGATGTAGATAAGAAGAAATATGGAAGGAACATGAAATGTCATCGGTAACTTAATAAAATAATTTCATGAGAAAAATCAATTTTGAAATTGCATGTCAATGATCCTTTTTGTGTGCAAGTAACTATATTTTAAATCAGACTGATGCTTTGTGTCAATATGTATGTTGGGTTTCTGATATTAAGCCGATTTATTGTGGGGACATTGAATAAGATGGCGTGTCACAAAGTTTGGAGGTTCAATGTCACAAAGTATTCGTAAAATGGCAAATTTTATAATGTTTGATGAAAATTTGAAGTTGAAAATTATTTTAAATTCTACAAAATGTTGCCATGTTATTAAGGTAAAGATCTCTAAACAGAATTTTAACTTGCTGTGTCTTGAATTTTAATACTTGCCGTGTCACATATATATACTACATGTAGCTATACGTCACAATTGAATTTGATGGCAAAAACGTCACATTTAAATGCTACACTAAATCAAATACCTTCATTTTAAGAAGTCATTTTTCTTTGACACCACACAACATTTAATACAAAATGTGCAAAATAAAAACTTTATTTAGATATGAAAATGAATTGATTCTATAAAGAAATGTTTGTTTTAGAGGTCTTTTACAATGTCAACATAAATGTCACACACTGTCCAAAAGTAATAAATCTAACTGAAATTGTATAAATGTGGTGACATGATTCATGAATCATATGTGTAGACATATTGAAAATTAGAGGATTTTTATGGAATGTGCATTTTTTTTCAAAATTAAGTTATTGGTATATTCCAAAATAATTTCAATAGAACTGTGACAAAATCCTAGCAAAATATTATTGCGATTAAACGCAAAAGATTGCATTAAAACCCAACAGGTGATGCCGAATATGTGTCAAAAGGCTCACTAGGTCGTTAAGGGGTTGGACAACAAACTTTAAGTTTTTTTATATTACAATGCCCGTGGTCACATGTCTTTTTTTGTCAGGGAATTCGAACCCACTTGACAATTGTATTTACCGATGATATAAAAAAGAAGTACAAACGTAAATCGCCTTACAGTATTGCTTTGAGAAACCAAAAGTTCCATATTTATTTAATAGATGAATTGCTTGTAATAGTAAACATGAAAATAACAGAATAAAAATCTAGTAGATTGCATTTTAGCTAGGAAATGCATGTTCTTTGTGCCTTTCCGATCGTCTGTAGATTTGTTTTTTTTTCCAAACGTAAAATTCTTGTAGTTTCCATAGTCACCCACAATGCAATTCTCATTCTCGTTTAGCCGATTTGTCATGCAGCTAAAGCCATGTAGATACCTAATTTGTTAATATTGCCCCAATGAATATAGTCCCACTTCCAGTGCAAGTAGGTCTGTCCAAAAAGATTTTTTTTTACATAAGACTACAGAAAACTAAATATCATTGAGATGGTGGCCATCTAAAAGAGCCCCGCTTTCAGCAATGAACATTGGCACGAAAATTACCAATGTAACCTCTATAAAAAAAAGGCACAAAAATCACGAATGTGGCATTTTCTCTTTGAAAATTGTTGTATATCCTCTATCAAAAATGGAAGGAAAATCACAATTGATAAAGTTTAAGACCTACTGAACTTAAGGGATTATGCACCGAACGAAGATTTTAAACAGAGAGGTTACTAGTATTTTTGAGAGGAGATATGCTCTGGACAAGAGCTCATGGAAGGACAGACTGCTCAGTATAGGGCGCTTGCATAATGGGGCCCTTATAATGTCATAAAGAGTACATGTATTTATATACAATTGCCAATGCAAATTCATTTTGATAAAATAACTAATCTGTGGAACCTCATTCTTTAACATTTCCGTGTACTGTCGTGAACCAAACTCACAATGATTGTACTATCGCGGAATTTCGAGAAACCGCCTTCACTCTCCATTTTCATAAACAACAAAACACTGAGGTATGTTGCACTTTGTCACTAATTTGACTTTAATTATAGAAAATACTTGTAATTAATTATGTATTAATACGCAAGTTTCGAGATTATCTCCCTTGGTGCGCTTTTTCGTTGAGGAGGGGAGTTTGGTTGCCACGTAATAAAACAGGTGGGACAGTTATTTATCACTGGATATATCGCATCATCTATATACTGGCTTATCGTAACTATATAATTGTAAGGATGCACTGTTCAACTCGAGAATAATCGAATTAAAGTATAGATGTCATTTTTTTAAAGTAAAAAAAATTGAAACAAAAAGAAAATTCAGTGGATGTGAGACTTTTCAGACGAGGGAAGAGATATATGGACCTCTAATAAATACGGTAAACATGAAACTGATCATTACATGTCGGCAATCTAAATGACATGTTGATTTTTGCCTTATTATAACTTCAAAAAACGCACTAACTTTTTAGAGAATGTTTGACGTACAATCAAGAAAATCTTTTAGTTTTTATAAAGACCACATGCAACGTTTATTACGTTTTCAAGTACCCTATAATTGAAAGTAGATATGTAAATATTCACAGTTGAGCTTGATAAAATTATAAAATGCATCACTGTTTAACATTTTTATCTTTCTATAACAGTAAATAAATTTTAAAAGCCATAAACATCGTTCATTTATTTATGCACATTTGTATACATAAACAAACTGTCCCATCTCCTTGTTGAAATGCATACTTTTTGCGCCTCTATCGCAGGAGAGTTACAATCTCGAAACTGGCGTATTGGTCAAGAAATCCATAAAATTATTAATTAACAACTTATTATCTGTATCAAAAAATTAATTCTTAACAGAATGAAACCGAATTATGAATATGATTGATATGTACACATTGATTACATAATATATGGCGTTTTGATTATATATTATTGATTATATAATATATAAATTGATTATATAATATATAAAACCTTCTTGTGGTCTGAAACCGCCAAGTACTTGAGTGAATATATACTTTAAATGAAATACTATATAATCAAGTTCATACCCCAAAGTCTGAGTTCTTTTCTACAGGTTGGTGAAAACTGAAACGTGACATAACTATTCTCTTTACCATATCTCCACTTGCTAGTCACTTCCAAGCCACATTTTCGTGAATAATTTATCTTATCTCTCTGTAGCTATAGTCTTGCTAAATCTCACCAGAGGTACTGCTCGTTGTCGTGAATGATGCAGGATAATCTCCTCGGTCTTGAAATGTTGTCTGAAATATAAAAGCCTCCGTCGACTAATGCATCGACTTTTTACTTTCAAACAACATTTCTCGACTTCGGAAGTTATTCTGCAACATTCACGAAAACGCAGACTTTATTTCTTTAAAAAAATATTTGAAGTAAATAAGTAGCTTTAAATGTTTGTCCCCATTATATTTCTAAATACACAAATCTATTTAAGATATTTAATTTTCTTAAGCTTTCCACACCACTCAGCTACAAACAAGTTGTCTTTTTTGTCCACACATAATCCCAATGGCTCCTTCAGATCACAGTTATCTATACAACGAAGAAACTGTCCGTCCTGGTTTAGGATGTCTATATTGTGGTTATGATAGTCTGCTATCAGGATCTGGCTCTGACTGTCTGTTGTTATACCGCGGGGCTTAAACAGATTAATCTTTGTAGTAGAACGATGACCAGTGTATCTAAATCTGAGTTTTCCTGCTTGATTGACCACTACCACAGCACAAGCACCTACGTCAGCAACACAGATATCCTGGTTTCTATTCTCACTGATATACTTTATTTTGCTATTTTCTGAATACAGAGGTTTACCCTCATCATCAAACTGGATTGCTTGTTTCTCTGTGGAGCCTGAGTAACGGACAACTTTAGATTGTGTTTTATCATCACTGTACATGGTAACCAGGAGATCACCAGAGGAGGTGACAGAGAGTTGTAAAGGTTTCCAGCCCTGTAGTCTGATCACCTCCTCTGTCTGTCCATTCTTCACTTTATTCACACTCTTTGTCTTCCAGTCAGAGTACACTAAATCCTCCTCACCTGTCACTGCTATATCACCTGGCCATTCCCCTGATTTTGTTTTGATTGTCATAAAAAGTGAGCCTTGATTGATAAAGCATTTTATATCACTGTCCATTCCACTAGTCCAGATTTCTACTTCACTGAGATTGGCGACACTACGGAGGTTATCAAACCCAGTATTTATCGTGGTGATAAGTTCTGATTCTTCCAGCAGTTCTCTAGTTGATTGCTCTGAGTTTTTCAATGTATAACCATTTTTTTCTGTTGTGGTGCATAATGGTGTTAAAAATCCAAATAATTTATAAAGATGTTCTGAATCTTTTGACTTTGGACTGAATGTTGGTAGTGATACCTTAATTTTGGAAGGAAGTGTGCTCAATTCTCTGATATTGGAACTGTATTCCATAGTCATAGACACTTCATTAGATTCATCAATTCTGATTAGTTTTAGCAGTGTTCGTTTAATAAGAGTCTGTATCTGTTTAATTTCATTTAAATGTTTCTTCAGAATGCTCATATGTTTATTTTTTATCTCCTTAATTTCTGTTTTCATTCTGTTTACAATGTTATCAACTTCTTTGTGCCATTCTTTTCCATGTTTTGTCACTGCTTCTGTAAGTTTTCCATATTCTCCATCAATATTAGCTAACTGAGCTTCCAAATCAGTGGCAATTTCTTCATAGGTTGGAGAAATTATAGTTTCTAATTCTTCAGTATCTTTCTCTATGAGTTCTCTCTTTGAAAGAAATATATCTAAAAGAATTGTAATGGTATGCCCCTTATGTTTATCTGATATATTACACAAAGAACACACAGATATATTACACTTTGTACATTGAAATTTACATCTCTTTGTTTCGTGTGCTGTGCACTTGGAATAAATCAAGGTTGATTTTCTTATTTGAATTGGGACCACTTTATGTTTGTCATAACCATCAGAAATATGTTTTCCTACGCACGGAATACACAGATTGACATGACAGTAATCACAATAGTTTTGTGCTATAGTGTCCTCACAAAGGTCACATCGGGCGACATCTTGGGCACTGTGGCGGGGATCCATGTCCAGATCTAAAATTTGAATGATTTGTCATTATAAAGAACCCAATCTGTTAAAGATCAGCTAAAACCAAAATGTAAATATTATCTACAATGAACTAGTTCATTAGATTTTAACCTTATATGTTCGTTGATACAGTGAATTTGTTTAAAAGTAGAATTTATGCGATATAGTATTAGAGGATTAGTGTCTCCATCCCTTTATCAGTTTCTGAAGAAAAGATTTCCCCATTTATTTACCTACCCCAATTTTTACCCTGAGTTAAGAGAGCTGGGTCAAACAGACATTATTTTTAATTGCTGTCTTGCATTTCATTTACTATTTCTAGACATTTAATATGCTTTCATTATAAAGGTGATGCAAATGGTAACTTCTACAGCTATATGCGACTATGGATAAAAAGTGCTGAAGCCTTTTTGTGCATAAATGAAATAATTATACAAACAGAGGTTATAATCTTATCAACGAAAATGGTTATTGGATACATTCTATGCTATAATTTAAATTGTTTAAACAACAAGAGGCCCACGGGCCTGATAGGGCCTGATAGGTCACCTGAGTATCATGTAATAACTTTCCAACTGAATTTGGTTCTGTTTTAAACCAGAGGCCATGAAATTTTGAAAGAGGCACCATTGCTTATCATAATTATAAACTTAGCATGCTTACTCTATTTACGTAATACCCAGAGGTAGATCAGATTAAAAAAAGAAAAAATGCACTTCCACTTTGTAACCAGTTGTGCACCCTACCCCAAAGGAACCACTGACCCTGGAGCCACATATTTCAAAATTTTGGAAATTTTATCATAAATTATATTTCAACATAAATGGTTGATGATGCATATGAGAATAACCTTATGTCTATTACACAGAGACATGGTATAATAACACTTTTACCAAAGGGGGATAAGTCAAGACAATTTCTCAAAAACTGGCGGCCAATAATACTCCTAGATACTGTATACAAAATTGCATTAGGTACTATTGCTAACAGAATAAAAAATAAACTTGTCAAATTGATAAATAGTGATCAAACGGGATTTATTTCAAATAGGTACATAGGAGAAAATACACGTTTGATTTATGAGATATAATGCAGTACACAGTAGAAGAAAATATACAATATACAGGCTTGTTACTTTTGATTGACTTCGAGAAAGCTTTTGACACTATTCCATGGAATTTTACCAGAATTCCTTGCATTTTTTTTTTAATTTTGGCCCCTTAATACAAAAATGGATGAAACTGTTTTATACTAATATAAGTTCCACAATTCATCAAAGTGGTAATTTTTCACAAAGATTTAATATACAGAGAGGATGTAGACAAGGGGATCCTCTATCACCCTATATCTTTATCTTGTGTGCACAGGAAAAAAATCAAAACAAAAAAAATCAAGGGATTCACTGTTAAAAACATGGAAAATAAAATATCCCAATTAGCAGAAGACACGTACTCAATCTTTTTAGACGGTAGCAAAGAATCATTGACAGAAGTGATGAAAACATTAAAGAAATTTTCCGAAATGTCTGGTTTATATATCAACTGTTCAAAATCTCATGCAGTTTGGACTGGTTCCAAAAAGATTTAGTCAAGAAATACTAAGTCATGAGTATAATCTTAAGTGGGGATATGCAAGATTTACCTTACTTGGAATTCATTTTGATGTTGATTTGAATGAAGTTGTAAGACTCAATTATGAACCAAAATTAAGACAAATAAAAGATATAATTAGTCAGTGAAGTAAGAGATATTTGACACCTATTGGAAAGATAACTGTTTTTAAAACTCTTTTACCGCTGCTTAACCATATACTAATGGCTATTCCTAATCCACCAGTCTGAGAAAACCTTTTGAAGGAATTGGAAAAATTATTTTTCTCATTTGTATGGAACGGTCCACAACACAGAGTGAAGAAAGATGTCTTAGTAAAATAAATATGAAGAAGGCGGAGTAAATATGATAAATCTTAGAGCTTTCAATGCATTACTACATTTATTTTGGATGAGACAGCTTATTCTGTCAGATAAAGGTTTACAAAAATTAACGTGCGGCATTAAATATATTAAAAATATCATGAAGAACCTTAAAAACAAGTTTTGGAATGATGTCTTTGAGGCATGGATTGAATTAAATAATAAGCACTACAATGTATGTAAGGTTGCAGGAGACATGCCATTTTTTTATAATCCAAAAATTGTCAGTGGTGGGAAAGTCATTTATAACAAAAATATGTATTACCTGAATAATAGAGTTATTAATGATCTTATGGACGAAAATGGTTCCTGTTATAGTTTTGAGGAATTTTGTAGCATATATCCAAATGTAAGGCTTAATTTTTTAGAATGTGCAGGTATAATACATGTGTAAAGGCATGGATGAAAGCAAGAGACACTAATGATATAATTGCAAAATTACCTAACCGATTAATTTTGTCCAATACTCATATTCTTTCAAAGTGTAAAAAAGCAAAACAGTTTTATGAAATAATTAATGTAAATGATATTGAAAACACTGAGAAAACAAGACGGAATGATATTTTTATGCCCCGTCATGAATATAGCCGGGGCATATAGCGTTTGTCATGTCTGTCTTCCGTCCTTCCGTCACACTTTGCGTTTCGCTCTGTTCAAAGCTAAGTTTCAAAGAAACTATCCAAGATATTTTCATCAAACTTCATATGCTGATAGATATTGATGAGAGCTATGCAACTGCATCAACATTTTTTGACCTTGACCTTTTCTTTGACCTTGACATCACTTTTCTTAAATTAGTGTTTAGCTCAGTTTTAAACATACCATTCAAGATGGTGTTATCAAACTTCACATGTTGATACAAACTTGCACGGATGATGCATCTAGGGATGGACACTACCAGACTTGCTTCGGATGCTGGATCTGACCTACATTTTCCAAATGAGTGACCAGGTTAAAGTTTTTGGAGCAGGTCCATTCCTAAGGAACTATAAGCCCTACATGGACCAAACTTGCACGGATGATGCATCTAGAGATGGACACCACCAGACTTGCTTTTTGGATGCTGGATCTTACCTACATTTTTATTCCCTAGTAACTATAAGCCCTACGTGAACCAAAGTTGCATGGATCTTGCATCTAGGGATGGACACTACCAGACTTGCTCCGGATGCTGGATCTGACCTATATTTTCATTCCCAAGTAACTATAAGCCCTGCTTCAAACAAACTTGCATGGATGATGCATCTAGGGATGGACACTACCAGACTTGCTTCGGATGCTGGATCTGACCTATATCTTATTCCCAAGTAACTATAACTCCTACCTGAGCCAAACTTGCATGGATGATGCATCTAGGGATGGACACTACCAGATTTGCTTCGGATGCTGGATCTGACCTACATTTTTATTCTCTAGTAACTATAAGCCCTACCTGAACCAAACTGATCAAATTTTATACACATACAAATTTTCATGTTGCCTTACTAATACAATATGTATATCCTCGGCGGGGCATTCATGTCCTATGGACATATTTCTAGTTTTATTTAGGGGAAAGTGAATGGAAAAGGATTTTTAATCTTCCATTTAAAATTACAAAAATTAGTAAACTTCAATGGTTTCAATACAGAATTTTAAACAAAATACTAGGTACAAACTCATATCTATGTTAAATAAGGAAAGAAGATGATAACTTATGTTCTTTCTGTAATATGGAAGAAGAAACAATAATACATATTTTATGGGAGTGTGACAATGTACAGACCTTCCTCAACAGTTTTGAAAGACATTGTGAACAAAGGACAGGGTTGCAACTTTCATTTACAAAGCAAAGTTTTATTTTGGGATTTCCAGTCAAAAACAAAGATATTCATAACTTGCTGGCTCTATGGATAAAATATTATATATACATACAATGAGATGTTTAGAAAAAAAATTAGATGTCAGACTTGCGACTTCACATATGAAACTTTTTTTTATGAAACTCAAAAATATTTCGCATATAAGAATGGTGACAGAGATGTTTGACACCAACTGGAATCTGTGGAATCAAATGTTTTCATAAAATGCTATTAAATGAAAAAAAAACTTATTTATGTCAAGAAATTTTAAAACATGCCAACTCTCTCCCACCCCCCCCCCTCTCTCTCTCTCAAAACCAATCTCTGTAATATAAATAAATTTTGTATTATGAATTGTGAAACAGATTGTGTAAAATAAATAAAGAATTAAAAAAAAATAAATGGTTGATTAATACCAAGGAGCAGATTTCAAAGCATTAATTTATTTTCAGACTATGTAACCTTCCCCCCTTCCTGACCCAGGGGTATGAAATTAACCATTCTACTAGATGCACCTTTCTTCATCATAAATAAATATACTTGGACCATTAGCATAACACCCAAGAGCTAAGGAAAATATTGTCAAAGAATTAATGTATTTTCACTATATAATCAAAAGAGCCCCCCTTACACCAAATGGCAAAACCCCTGATACAGGGACCATGGAATTCACAAATTTGGTTGAGGCATAATAACTTTATACTAAGTTAATTTATTTAATACCGAGGAGCAGAGAAGAAGATTTTGAAAGAATTAATGCATACAATATAATCAATAGAGCCTTGCCCTAACATCAGAACCCCTGATCATGGGGCCATGAAACTCACAATTTTCTAAGAAGCACTCTTGCTCATCATAACTATTTTCTTAGTTAGTTTATTTAATACACAGGATCAGAGAAGAAGATTTTCAAAGGTTAAATGTTTTTTTTCACCATATAATCAATAAGCCCCGCCCTAATATCAGAACCCCTGACCCTAGGGCCATAAAATTCACAGTTGTGGAATATGCACTCTTGTTCATCATAACTATGTTCTTAGTTAGTTTATTTAATACCTAGGAGGAGAGAATAAAGTTTTGAAAAAATAAATGCATTTTCACTGTATAATCAGTAGAACCCCGCCCTTAAACACCAGAACCCCTGACCCTGGGGCCATAAAATTCACAATTTTGGAAGAGACACT